CCCCCTGCAGATCCTCTGATGTCCAGCAGAGGCAGCAGTGAGTCTGTCCCCATAAACTCCCATGTTAAACGTTAGAGCTGATACTAACGCCTGTTTTAAACTTCTGTTAGAGAAGAAAGAGGAAGTAGAAGAAGAAGAGTGTCACTGTATGCAGATGACACAGTGCTGTAAACGGGAGACATTGAGGGGTCAGAGGTGGACGGGGTCACAGTTCGACTTCCTGTAATTCTGGCTGAAGCAGAGGAGGTCAGGGCTGCAGCCCGTCTGTGTCCCTGCTCATTTCTGTCAGTAATCTGGAAATGGTCCCGCTGTAATTCTGAAAGTCATCCATTTATCAAACAGCACGCCAGTTTTTCCTCGCCACAGAGAAAAGCACACACACACACACACACAGACACACACACACACACACACACACACACTCTTCACGCTTCAGCTCAGGCTGTTACTAAATTCACGATTTCATAAAAATGGTTTTATTTTGAAAATCCTGTTGGCTGTAATTCTCACTCTTGTTGCTTCCTCTTTGTGTTTTCTCTCGTTATGTGGCGTTTGTCTCGTGCTGCGAGTCGGGAAGGAGTCCGTGAAAACACAAAGTTTAACGATGTGTGCGTCTTCCTCTTTTGCTCTGCAGGTAAATCGGACACTTACGAGCGGTGCGTGTCAGAGGCGGAGCTCCTGCTGGACCAGTCGATGCGTCTGGAGCAGGCAGGCGAGGTCGCCGCCGCGCTGTCAGCTGTCAATGAAGCTGTCTGTAAGCTCCTCCCACTGCCGCTGACCACACTCTCTCTACTTTGAACACAACCAGGCAGAAACCTGACGGCCGACTTACACACACGAACGCGAGAAGCTGAATCGAGCTTTAAACGATCCGCTCACCCAAACAAACATCGGGATGGTTTTTGATGACATCATTACGGCGTCTGTATTCGCCGCTGTTTGCTTCACGTGTGTCAGTCAGATGTGAACCACGAGGGTCTGTAAATATCACAGAGTTAACTCAGCTCAGGGTTCGAGTCATCAGTGAAGACTGTCCTCAGTGTGACCCCACCCCCTGCAGATCCTCTGATGTCCAGCAGAGGCAGCAGTGAGTCTGTCCCCATAAACTCCCATGTTAAACGCAGCTCGCTGAGCTCAGCGGGATGATTTCTGGGC